CACATAAACATGCTTGAACTGATTACCATGCGGAAAATGATCCAACACTTTGCCCCGCTACTGCAGGGTCATCATGTGATGGTCCACACGGACAACAGAACTGCCACAGCTTACATAAATTGCCAAGAGGACGTTCACTCGGCTCAGCAGCTGGACGCGGCCAGTGTGTTGCTCTGCTGGATGCACACACATCTTCCCTCCATCAGAGCTGTTTACATCCCAGGCATGCTAAACAGTGGAGCAGATATTATGTCATGGGGCAGCCCCTGAGACAAAGACTGGAGCCTCAACCCAGATCTGATCCTCCAGATAGGGAGCAGGTTTGGGAAAGCGGACATGGATCTAATGGCCACTCAAGAAAACACTTAGTGTGAACTGTTTTTCTCTCTGAACCCACGGGACGTGCCACCACTGGGGGTGAACGCATTTGCTCACAAATCATGGCCTCAGATGTTGCTCTATGCATTTCCTCCGACTCCACTGCTGGAGCAGATCTGAGAAGAACAATTGAGGGCGATTCTGATCGCTCCAGAACGCATGGGTGCTCCATGTTTCCTGGTTCTCCAACAGCTGACGAGCAAACCATGAAAACTGCTGTGGCAAGAGGATGCTCTCTTGCAGACAGGGGGAGCAATCAGGAGCCCACCGGTGAGAGGTCAGCGTCTCTGGGCCTGGCTGCTGAACGGGAATGTTTAGAGAAATTGGGTTTCTCTCAGGACGTGGTGCGCACGATCCAAGGTGCACATGATCCAAGGTGCACATGCAGCTTCCACCATGGCTTGCTACGCAGCCAAGTGGGTAGCTTTTCAGAAATGGTGCTTAGAGAAGGATGTAGATCAGATTTCTTGTCCTTTAAGTTACATATTATCTTTTCTGCAGCTGCTGATGGACAGAAACCTGGCCTTCATCATGATTAAAACGTACACTGCAGCCATTTCCTATTGTCATGAGGGTTTTAACAACAGAACAGTTTTTAATCATCCTCTCACTTAACAATTTTTGAGGGGTGTGCGCAGACACACGCTGGTGCCATGCATGTTACTTCCACAATGGGATTTAGCATGTGTATTCCATGCACCGTCTAAAGAACCATTCGAAACTTTAGATCAGGTATCGCTGAAATTTCTATCTTTTAAAACAGATTTGCTATTAGCTTTGACGTCAGCAAAGAGAGAGAGAGCGACCTCTCAGCCCAGTCGGTCGCTCCCTCCTGTCTAAAAATCCAAGGCGATGTGAGCTCAGAGGTGCTTCACCCAAATCCTGCTTTTACACCTACAAGCATAACTAGTTCTTTCAGATCTAGAATTATAACGCTGGGGGGATTCTACTCCCCTCCTCATAATTCTTAAAGGAGCTCAATATCACCTCCTTTTTCCTGTTCATGCACTTGCGTGTTGCGTAAGACGCACGACCACTCTGCGTAAATCTGAACGTTCATTCACGTCAGAAATCAGTCACAAGATCAACCTTTATCTCCTTAACACTTGTCTCACTGGCTATGTGATGCTACTTCTTTAGCATACTCGGTGGCCGGTCTTCCTCCTTCTGATGGACTTAGGGCTCATTCCACCAGAGGGATCTCAACCTCCATGGTGCTGCACGGTGGTGTGCCTGTACAGGACATCTGCTCCGCGACTTCCTGGTCATCATCGAACTCCTTCATCCATGTGTGATGTCTCTAATTTATTTATTTTATTTATTTACTTATTAACGTTTATGTAACCAGGCAAATCCCATTGAGATCACAGATCTCTTTTGCAAGGGAGACCTAACATGCATGTTTTTGTTCTGTGGGAGGAAACCGAAGAAAACCCACGCAAGCATGCAAAGAACATGCAAACTCCACACAGAAAGACACCAGGTCCAACTGGGGATTGAACCCTGGACCTTCTTGCTATGAGGCGACAGTAATAACCACTGAGCCATCGTGCTGCCCAATTTGTCTCTGACACACTTGGTTCTCAGAGTCCTGTCTGAGTGACATCACAGCCATCTTCATTCATTTTTCCTGTCTGACATCCAAGCAAGGGAAGTTGTTTCTTATACAGAAGTTTTTCCCTATTCTCCCTCTTGGGGTAAAATGCGTGAGTAAGCTGAATATTCAGTTCTCAGTCCGGCTTAAAGGGCAAACCCATATGAAACAGAACGTAGGTTACGCACTGTAACCACAGATTCTATGAATATGGGTGCAGCCCTTTAAGCACTGGGCCTCACTGGCTCCCAAGTAGCTGAAAAAAAGTTAGTTATGTGGGAGAAGATCTACGGAACCGTATGCTATTTATGTGGTCTAGGGGTGGGGCCCACACAGTGGGTGGGTGTTGACCAGAGTTTTTTCAGTGTTGGCACGCTGTGCACGGGGTGAGACCCAAAAGTACGGCTTAAAGGGCTGAACCCATATTCATAGAATCTGTGGTTACAGTACATAACCTATGTTCTGGACTAACTGCAGCTTGAGGGGCTGGCCTTGCTAACACCAGGTTGGGCCACATTGGTTTGGATACCTTTTAAAAAATAAATCATCAGTTAAAAATAGCATATGTGTCTTTATCATTGTTTTATATTAACATTTGCTTGATGATGTGAAACATGCACGTGTGACAAAAAAGCATTAACAGAAGCAACTGTAAGGGGGTAAATATTGTTTTGCAGCGTTTTCTTGATTACCGGTACTTTGTAAAATGTAATGAAGAATCTAAACAGCCCGCCTGTTTCATCACTGTTAGAAAGGTAGATATTCAAAATAGAGTTGCATTCGGGCCCAAATCTGACCCGGCCCCAGCTATCATTGCCGAACCCCACCTGACCAGATGAATCAACAGTAATTACAGGTCTGAACCTTAAGAAACCCAGACATTTTTAATAAAGCTTTGACTGATTATATACAAACCGGATTCAAAAAAGTTGGGACACTAAACAAATTGTGAATAAAAACTGAATGCAATGATGAGGAGGTGCCAACATCTAATATTTTATTCAGAATAGAACACAAATCACAGATCAAAAGTTTAAACTGAGAGAATGTTTCATTTTAAGGGAAAACTCTGTTGTTTCCAAATTTCATGGCTGAACAAATCCCAAAAAAGTTGGGACTAGTCCATTTTTACCACTGTGTGGCATCCCCCCTTCTTCTTACAACACTCAACAGACGTCTGGGGACAAAGGAGACCAGTTTCTCAAGTTTAGAAATAGGAATGCTCTCCCATTCATGTCTAATACAGGCCTCTAACTGTTCAATCGTCTTGGGCCTTCTTTGACACACCTTCCTCTTTATGATGTGCCAAATGTTCTCTATAGGTGAAAGATCTGGACTGCAGGCTGGCCATTTCAGTACCCGGATCCTTCTCCTACGTAGCCATGATGTTGTGATTGCTGCAGAATGTGGTCTGGCATTATCGTGTTGAAAAATGCAGGGTCTTCCCTGAAAGAGATGACGTCTAGATGGGAGCATATGTTGTTCTAGAACCTGAATATAGTTCTCTGCATTAATGGTGCCTTTCCAGACATGCAAGCTGCCCATGCCACAAGCGCTCATGCAACCCCATACCATCAGTGATGCAGGCTTCTGAACGGAGCGTTGATAACAACTTGGGCTATCCTTGTCCTCTCTGGTCCAGATGACATGGCGTCCCAGTGTTCCATAAAGAACTTCAAATCATGACTCATCTGACCACAGAACAGTCTTCCATTTTGCCACACTCCATTTTAAATGACCCCTGGCCCAGTGCAAACGTCTGAGCTTGTGGAGCTTGCTTAGAAATGGCTTCCTCTTTGCACTGTAGAGTTTCAGCTGGCAACGGCGGATGGCACGGTGGATTGTGTTCACTGATAATGCTTTCTGGAAGTATTCCTGAACCCATTCTGTTATTTCCTTGACAGTGGCATTCCTGTTTGAGGTGCAGTGACGTTTAAGGGCCTGGAGATCACGAGCATCCAGTAGAGTTTTACGGCCTTGACTCTTACGCACAGCGATTGTTCCAGATTCTCTGAATCTTTTGATGATGTTATGCACGGTTGATGATGATAACTTAAAAGTCTTTGCTATTTTACGTTGGGTAACACCATTCTGGTATTGTGGCACTATCTTTCTGCGCAACAATGCTGGAATTGGTGATCCTCTTACCATCTTGGCTTCTGAGAGACACTGACACTCTGAGAAGCTCTTTTTATCCCCAATCATGTTGTCAATTGACCTAATTAGTGTTAATTGGTCTTCCAGCTGTTCGTTATATGCTCACTTTCCTTTTTCCAGCCACTTATTGCTACTTGTCCCAACTTTTTTGGGATTTGTTGACACTGTGAAATTTTGAATCAACATATTTTTCCTTTAAAATGTTACATTTACTCAGATTAAACTTTTGATCTGTCATTTATGTTATTTTACAAATAAAATATTGACATTTGCCATCTCCACATCGTTGCATTCAGTTTTTATTCACAATTTGTTTAGTGTCCCAACTTTTTTGGAATCCGGTTTTTTAGTTATTAATGGTCGGCGGACGCGCGTGGCTGAATAAAAGGGGTAGAAGATCGGAGCTGAGGTGGTGTTTGTTCTTTCATGGCCGTCAAAGCACATTAAATCCCTCTCTGACGTCTGCTTTGGGAGCTCACCTGTTAGGATCATCGGCTGCGCGCGTCTGCTGAGTGCAGCGGCTGAATGAATGTCCGTTTGGGCGATGGATAGCTTCCTGGCAGTATAATCCCATCTCAGGCTCAACTGAACCTTATTTTACCTCTTTCAAGGCCGGTCAACTTGCGGTGATATGGCCGCATGCGGCTGGTAATTGTATGGCAAGCCATGTTGCCATATAATTGGATTGCGGCTGAGCCACTGACGCAATCAAAAGCCCAACCCTGGCCCGCCCATCCAGCACATTATCATGGCCCGGACCGCCCCAAATTCAGGTCGGGCTGGGCCGGGCTTCAGGCCTGGGTTAGAAATGACAGCTCTACTTCATTATGACCGCATAGAGCTGAGTTAGTTGGTTTTTGAGTAGAAATACCACCACTGTTGTTGCTCCCAGGACTTCCAGTGAATTCCTCTGCTCCTACACATGTGTAGAGGCCATTTTCACCTGCTTGCCTGGAGGTTGTTTGCCTTAAAGAGAAAAGAACAACAACAAATATTTGCAGCATCTGTAAGAATGTCACATCTGTATCAGTTTTGGTCATCAAGACCATATATATATATATATATATATATATATATATATGTCCCCCCCTCCCCAAAGAACAAAAAATAAAAAAAATGGAGCTATGTTTGCCATGGACTGTACCTTGAGTAAAGCTTTTAAATTTAAGTCCTTGTGATGTCATAGCTTTTGCTTTTCAGCTATTTATATAGTTCCTTGAGTTTAATTTTTATTCTTATTCCCTTTTTGGTTTCTGAGTATTTTTCAGTCCTTTGGAATATTTGTCTTTGAGTTATGTTATTTGTGTTTTTCCTCTGAGTTTAGCTCTTTATCCCTGTGTGTTTTTGCACTTCATTGTTAGTATCCTGATGCATGCTCAATAATCCAGGTAGAAAAATCCAAAAAAGTTTTGTCTCTCATCCAAGAGACTTCCTCAGTCTGATGTGCTGTTTTCAGCTCAGTCTCTTAAATAGCACCTTCTCAGAGTGGATCAACCAGTTTGCTGCTGACAACCAGAACCAGCTGCTCACATGGTCAGGTGTTATCAAAATTAAATCTCAGTAAGTCCAACATTTTACTGACCACATTAACTCTGTGGATAAATACATCAAGCTCACACGAGAAGATGTAAAAAATTTAGGTAAATAAAGCTGAAAAGAGCACAGAACAGTTGAAAAAACAACTGAAAGTAGCTGAATTTTTTTTAATCAATTTTGCACAAAGAAGCTGAAAGAAAGTGAACCCGAACAAAATGTGAAAGAAGCAGTAAAAGGTTGTAAACAAATCAAAAGATATGAAGGATGTAAAATGAGCTTAATTTATTTTCATCTGGGGAAGAAAATGGTGGTAAAGTCTAAATATCTACAAATATCTAAAGTTGCACCAATACCAGAAGTCATAGCGCCCCTCTCCTGAAAGAGCTGAACGTTTTGATATATAAATTGTTGAAATAGCATAAAAATTGTGGAACAGGACTTCCAGTTGGAACAATGTAGAGATGGCCGCTTTGTAAAGAGGCTCCTGAGAGAACTGGCAAAATTACAGATCTACTCCCATTCAGCTGAGTAAAATTGCATAACAAAAAGCAGTTAGAGGGGGTAAGATGGAGACGAAGCCCCAACGGCAATACAACATTCGAGAAGAGAAAGGACAAGTTACACGGATGGAGAAATTACAGCTAACGCAGCTTAGCATCAAGCTAGCAGCATCTAAGGATGGAATGGCTAGCTTGGAAGTGTTAGTAAAAGAACTGAGAGGGTTCCACCAGGAAAACAAAGAACAACTTTCTACTATCAAAGAGGAAATCAAAAAGGCTAACGCGAAGATTAATGAAATGGAGGAAAGGCTGCAGAAGACTGAGGAGCGAACTCAAAGCACGGAGGAAGTGGTAGCAGAGCTACTATCACTACACATGAAGCTGGAGGATAAGCTGGTAGACCTGGAGAGCCGATCTAGGTGAAAAAAAATTCAGAATCTATGGCGTTCCAGAGGGGACCGAGAGGACTCTGAATAGACGATTATCTTTGTGGAGACTTTATTGAAAGAGGGGCTCGGTCTGGATGGCAGTGGGTCAAACATGCAGATTGAGCGAGCACATCGGGTGCTGGGTCCGCAACCGCCAGAGGGCGTGCCACCAAGTTCAATCGTTGTGAAGTTTTTAAGCTTCAGATGTAAAGAGTCATTACTTCGCAAGGCTCTGCAACATAAGGTCTGGCATGAAAAATATAAATCTGGACCATGACTCACCAGCCATCCTCAGAAAGCACAGAGAATACACTGAGGTTCAGAGGGTTCTGAAAGAGAACGGGGTTCCTTCCGTTCCAGACACTCTTCCCTGCGAGGCTGCGAGTAAACCACCAAGAAGGGTCCAAAACCTATGACACTATAGAGGAAGCTACTGAGGACCTGGCCAAAAAAGGCTATAAAGTAAAAGTAACCAAATCTCCAGATTCCCTGAAGGAGCAGATTGAGTGGCTGACCTGGAGCAGGAAGGAGGGAAAACCACAGAAAGACGCCTCCAGCTCTGCAAGAGGGAAACCTTATAAAGAGAGGCACTGGGCGTTTAAGAGAACTTAACCACCAGCATCATGAGAACTGAAGGATCCGTCACTCTCCCTCTTTGGATAGCCCTCTCAGAGACAAGTCCACAGAGGGCTGATTTAGGGATGATGGGACTACAAATAGGTTTGTTGGGGGTTCACTTTTATGGGCTGCTGCACCTGTAAGAGCCCACCTTAATGGTCTTGGGAGGATTTTCCCTTTTGAACTGTCACCAAGAGGCTCAACAGGGTCTAGTTAACAGACCCCTGCATTGGCAGCAGAACTTGTTTTGTTTTTTCACAGTTTTTGTTTGAAAGTATGTTTTTGTTTCACCTGTTTAGTTTTAGTGAGTGGGAGGGGGCCTTCAAGTGTCATTAGTGAAATGAAGGAGAAAATTACCTAAATGGAGAATACACAAATAAAGGTATTTTCAATTAATATAAATGGCTTAAATAACCCGATTAAAAGATGGAGAGTTCTATCTAAGCTAAAGAAAGATAAAGTTCAAATAGCAATGCTGCAGGAATCCCACCCAGATGACTCTGAACATGCCAGGCTGAACAAGATGAGGTTTAAATATGTGATTTCTCTACCCACGGCTCGGGGAAACAAAGAGGGATGGCAATTTTAATATCGAATGCCCTACACTATGAGCCTGTTGCAGCGCACAAAGACAGGGAGGGTCGCTTTATTTTAATCACAGGAACAATAGATGGTGTCCTGGTAAGTCTCGTTAACATCTATGGCCCACCTGGTAGTGATTGGTCCTTTTATAAACACATACTTGAACTAGCAGCAACAAAATGTCAAGGTATAATCATTTGTGCTGGAGATTTTAATGTTAGGTTGAACCCAAATTAATACCCAATAAATACAAACCTATTAAATAATACAATCAATAAGGAGAATATGAAAACTGAAATCAAAAGATACATGGAAGAGAATGAAGATGTGGGGCCAACAATACGATGGGACTAGGTCTGCAACAATGAATCGATAAAAATCGATTATTAAAAGTGTTGGCAACGAATTTCATTATCGATTCGTTGTGTCACGTGATTATGCGTCTGTCACGGTGCTGCGGAGCCGTATTGTTCAGCTGCAGTTCATTGTCAATGCTGACTGACTGAATAAAGTTTGAAAAAAAAAAACTCTGCAGCACAAGTTGAACAGAGCGAGGTGGAAGCAGAGCAGAGGCTGTTTTCAAAGGAAATTAAATACATTTTACAAATGACTGACGCAGAGAAAACTGTTCGACCCAAGTCCAGCAGCCCAATTTTTAACCAGTACAGGCAAAAGAGAGCACATTACACCAGTTTTGGCCTCACTGCACTGGTTACCGGTTCACTTTCAAATCCAGTTCAAAATACTCATGTATGTCTACAAATCACTGAACAGTAAGTGTGCTAAACATCAATTATAAATTATTTACTGCCATAATTTCACAAAGACTGGAAAAAAATCTTACCAGTGATAATTCATAAGGACCAAATGGGCTTCATCAGACAGAGACAGACACAGGACATCAGAAAAACTTTGCATATTTTAAATCATGTAGTACAACAAAAAATAAAGACCCTTGTACTAAGTTTAGACACTGAGAAGGCTTTTGACTCGGTCAGATGGTCCTTTTTTTATAAAGTGATGTCCAAATTTGGGGTCCACCAGACCATAATTGATGCAATTGTGGCATTATATGATAAACCATCTGCTAGGATAAAAATTAATGGCGATCTATCAGAGCACTTTATTTTGGAAAGAGGTACAAGGCAGGGATGCTGTGTTTTGCCGCTCCTCTTTGCCCTCTTCATAGAGCCGTTGAGTCATTGGATAAGGCAGAGGGCCGACATAACAGGAGTTCAGATGTCATCTGGGGAACAAAAGCTATCCTTGTTTGCGGACAATCTACTCTTAACTCTAACAAACCCAGATCAAACTCTACCTACACTTATGGAAATAATTGAAGAATATGGACCACTATCAGGTTATAAGATAAACATTACCAAGACTCAGGTTTTAACTCTGAACTACAATCCACAGAACAAAATTAGGAACTTGTACAAATGGAACTGGGAAGCAGAATCCAATGAAATACTTAGGGGTCACACCACCCAAGGATTTTTGTAGGATTTTTGATGCCAACTATGGATCCCTAACCTCAAAGTTGAAATCAGACGTACAGAAATGGAACTTGATCCCTTTTTCAATTTTATATTCCAGAATAAAGTCAGTCAGGATGAACATTCTTCCTCGCTTCCTGTATTTATTTCAATGTTTACCTATTCAGAGACCAGAAAGACGATTTGTAGAATGGGATAGATTAATATCGCAATATATTTGGCAGGGGAAAAGGTAAGAGTGAGATACACAACGCTACAGTTAAAGAAATAGAAAAGTGGACTGGGTCTTCCCAGTTTACAGGAGTATTACCTTGCAGCTCAGTTAAGATCAGTGATCTGTCTATGTTCTTCATCTTATGATGCAGGATGGAAAGATATAGAACAGTGGAAGGAATACCTTTAATATCAGTGTTAATGGATAAAGATTTACAAGAGGACCTGATGATACCACATGACTCAATGCTACACACAATGTTGGATTCTTGGAAAACGATAGTTAAAATTTGTAAAATAGATAATTAGATTGAAATACTCAGATGGTGTGTCTTTGATTCAGCTTTTAAACCAAACAAGAATGGTGGGAGATTTAAAGGATGGATCTCAAAAGGATTAACAACACACATTTACCCAGAAGGGGCTGTTTCAGAGTTCTGAGGAACTTCAGAGGTCTAACGGGCTGGAAAAAGTTGACTTCTACAGATATTTGCAGGTTAGGGCCTATTTTAATGAAAATATACAACAAAATTTGGATTCAGCTGAATTAGGATTTTTTAATGTGTTTCTGTCTTTGCTGAAATCAGAATCAT